TCACGTTTGTATACCCCCAATTCCTTTCTCATCATCTCGAAACAAAATCATCCGTTCCAATCCCTTATAACCACTTCAAGGCTGATTCCCCCATTACCCAGAACGCTTGCATTCGTATTCCAAATTTTTTTTTTTTTTACCTTGCATGCGTATATATACTAAAATCAGATTTATCATCGTCATAATACGCTCCCTACATGTCCGCTCACCGCCTCCATCTTACCAAGCTTCCTCGGGCAACCGCTGCATGTCCGCTCGCTGCCTCAATCTTTCAAGTCACTCATAACTCGTAACCCCCTATTTTCAAGTATACCAAAACAGAGCAACAACAGGGAAAATCAACACAGCCAGGAATGTGTTTCGTCGAAAGCGGCGTTTTTAACTCAAGCTGTTGCCGACGAAGGATTGTTCGCCTTTTGCCCACCTTCGTTGCTCCTGGATGGTTCCGAGTTATGCAAAGACCAATCGGGCTGAGGGAGTAGTAAAGCCAGGGTATGAGATTTGGAGGAAGACAATTATGAATGACTCTTTGTTTCCATAAGTTTCCCAGAAAGGCAAAACACAGATGCCATGCCAGGGCACCGGCTCTTCATTATTGATGACTCTATCTGGGAAAAGCAGGAAGAATGAATGATATACCAGTACTCAAAGGAATCACGCTCTCCCAAATCCAATTCGCACTCCAAAAATAAAGAATCCGCAGCGAATTATTAGAAAAACGCGTTGCCGCTTTAGAGCGGGATTGTGGGACCTAAACCCACGAATTGGGTGACCTAAATGATTTGCCTAGTTACGCTTGTTTAGAACTCATTACAAAGTCATACTACAATTAGAACTCATTACAGAGTCATACTACAATTACAATAGACAGAACATCACTCGCCAACACGTATGTTTTGATAGATCGATTTGGATTTGGTTTTTGTGTTTTGGATTTCAAATTGTCAAATCATTTGTTTGAATATTAATTACATTTGGTATTTGGATTTGTGCCAAATTCATGGGGTGATTTTCAAATACAAGTCTAGTGTATTACTTACCAACTTTAAATACATTCCAACAACGAGGAATTTTACAAAGCTTTAAAGCATTGGTACTTTAGTTTTTACCATTATGGTACAACTTCAAGTTGTACATTTAACATTATAGTACAACTTGAAGTTTGGTACAACTAAAAAAAAAATTAGTTCAGTACAACTAGTGATTTGAAATTCCTCCTAACAAAAGATTGGATCAATTTGTCAAATTTTAGATACTATAGTGTGCGCCATAATATAAAAAGGTACCAAAAAGTAATTTTACAACCAACCAAATTTTTAACCTTTTGTAAAATTTTAGAAATTTAGGTACTAAATTGCTAGAAAAAATAATTTTGGGTATCAAATTATCATTTACTAAAATTTGTAGTAACTGACAAAAAAATTAAAATTAAAATTAAAAATCTGAAATACAAACAAATTAGAAATGAGTATCCAACCTTGAAATGATAGTGTTGTTCTGGAACGTGAGGGGGTTCAACAAGACCCCCAAGCAGAGGGACTTTTTACAAGTCCTTCGTAGGAATAAAGTTGATATGGTGGCAGTTTTGGAAACAAGAATAAAGGCAGAGAAGGCAGAAGAAGCAGTAGCAGAGGTTTTTGAGGGTTGGGAGAAATGTTTAAATTGTGTTGAGTCAAAGTTAGGAAGGGTCTGGTTATTCTGGGATCCGGCTATTAAAGTCAGCATCCTGAAGCCTGGTAAAAACTATATTCACTGCTTGATTGAAGATGTGAATAGGGATAGCTTTTTTATGACAGCTGTCTATGCTTCGAACGATGATGCTGAGAGACAGGATACATATGCTGAGATTGCCAAGCTTCGAGTAATAGGGAGACCATGGCTTGTGGGGGGGGACTTCAATACAGTCCGCTCTCCTGAGGAGACATCAAATCAAAGATCTGTGACCTCTAGTATGGAAGCATTCAATAGGTGGATTGGGAATATGGAGCTGCTTGACTATCGTACCACAGGGCCGCAGTATACGTGGACTAACAGGCAGTCTGGTAACCCCATAGCAAGGAAATTGGATAGGGCATTGGTGAATCTTGAATGGATTGAAAAATTCAAGGATTGTGGGATTGAGGTGTTCCCAGCGCACTTTTCAGACCATTGTGGAGTGCAGGTGAGTACAACTATGCCTGTCAAATCGCTCCCTAAACCCTTCAAGTATTTTGAATTCTGGGCAGAACATCCAAGGTTCCTAGAAGTTGTTGAGGAGGCATGGAATGTGGAGGTTGGTGGATCGCCATTGCAGATTGTGCAGCGTAAACTTAGAGAGGTGAAAAGAGCTTTGAAGAAATTTAATAAAGAGGTCTTTGGTAGTCTTCAGCACCAAGTGTTAACAGCTGAAAAAGAGTTGCAGAGAGTGCAGATTTTGGCTTTTTCAGAGCCTACCTCAGGCCATTTTGCGGCTGTTTCTCAGGCCAAAAATCAGTTTGATCAACCGGTGCTTGCTTATGAAAGCTTCTGCTGGCAAAAATCGAGGGTCTCATGGTTATCAGTGGGAGATAAGAGCTCGAATTTTTTCCATCAGGCTGTTAAGATAAGAAATTCCAAGAAGGCTATTAGGAAGTTGGTTACTGATGGGGGAGTGGAGATAGTTCAGTCAGAGCAAATTGTTGAGGAAGTGGTAGGGTTCTATAAAAAATTGCTGGGTGAAGCAAATATGGAAATTCAGCCGAGAATGGAAGAGATACAGAACCTAGTTCAGAAGCAGATACCAGCAGAAGAATGTGCAGTATTGATCCAGGACATCACAGTGGAGGAGGTTAGACAAGCAGTTTTCAGCATGAATTCCCAAAAGGCTCCTGGGCCAGATGGGTTTTCTGCTGGTTTTTACAAGCGTGCTTGGTCAATCATAGGCGCTGATGTCACCAGAGGGGTATTGTTTTTCTTCCAAACAGGTAAATTGCCCAGTGGAGTTAACTCTACTGCTGTCTCTTTGATCCCTAAAGTCCCTGGTGCGGATACTCTTAAAAATTTTCGCCCTATCTCTTGTGTAAACCTCCTATACAAAATCATTGCAAAAATTCTGGCTAAACGTATTAGGGAAGTGATGCCTCTAGTTATCAGTAATACGCAGTCAGCTTTTATCAAGGGTAGAAGCATAATGGACAATATTTTGTTGGCCCAGGAATTGGTTAGTGGATATAATAGGGTTGGTTTATCATCACGGTGTGCAATTAAGATAGATATCATGAAGGCATTCGACTCAGTTAATTGGCATTATCTTTTTCAAATGATGAGTGCTATGGGTTTTCCTCCAAAGTTTTTGGGATGGATTAGAAGTTGTGTGCAAACAGCTCATTATAGTATAAATGTTAATGGAAGTTTGTGTGGGTTTTTTCGGGCTCAGAAGGGGGTAAGACAGGGTGACCCCCTGTCGCCCTATCTCTTCACCATTGCGATGGAGGGCTTGTCTGTTATGTTGCATTCTGCAGGGCAGGCAGGAAGCATTCCCTTTCATCCTCAATGCCGTCGGATTGCTTTGAATCACATGTGTTTTGCCGATGACATATTGGTTTTTACAAAGGGATCTGCGCAGGCCATATTACAAGTCAAGCATGTTCTTGAGTCATTTTATCAGCTCTCTGGTTTACGGAGTAATGCAGCCAAGTGTGAAGTGTATTTCGGAGGAGAATCTGTGCTGTATAAGCACAATGCGTTGCTCCTATCTGGGTTTAAGGAGGGCAGCTTGCCGGTTCGTTACTTGGGACTACCGCTGATGACTGGTAAGTTATCCTCAACAGAAGTTGATATTTTGGTGGACAAAATCACAAGGCGAATCCAAACCTGGAGAGCTCGCAAACTCACATATGCAGGGCGGTTGCAGCTGGTAAACTCGGTTCTGCTAGGGGTTATACAATACTGGATGCAGCTGTTTGTCCTGCCTAAGAAAGTACTAAAATGCATCCAGAAGATCTGCTCAAGTTTTCTTTGGCATGGAGTTGAGGAGGGTAAAGCAAAGGTGGCATGGGATGAGATAGCTTTACCTAAGCAGGAGGGTGGTCTGGGTGTGAGAGACATGCTAGCTTGGAATCAGGCTAGTACAATCCGAATGCTGTGGCTGTTTCTTGTGAAATCTGGGGCGCTCTGGGTCGCTTGGATGTCTGAATACAAGTGTAAACAGGGGGATTTATGGTCTATGAAGGTTCAGTATAGTAGTTCCTGGGCATGGCGGCGAATTTTGAAATTGAGATCTATCATTATGCCTTGGATTCATATGCAGAATGGAGTTGTGTTCTGGGATATGCAGGAAATGCGGATTTATTCAGTGAGGCGAGTTTGGGAAACGTTGAGGAAGAAGGCGCCTAAAGTCCCTTGGTACAAACTTGTATGGAATGGGGTGACTCCTCCACGATACAGTTTCCTTGCTTGGCTTGTAATTAGGAATGCTATAACCACTAAAGATAAACTGAAGAGATGGGGGAAGCTAGCTGATGCCTCCTGCCCTTTTTGTGGATTGGATGCAGAGACGAGAGCTCACCTTTTTCTCCAGTGTGCATACTCGCAGCAGATTGCTGCCTTGCTACACTGTCAGCTTTTGCGATTTAATGATTGGGATGCTATGTTGAGAATTGTTGGTAGTAAAGTTAGTAGTAATTTTCAGGTGGGAAAATGACATGCACTTCTCTGGTGCTTGCTGGTTGCCTTAATCTGGAAAGAGCGCTGTGGGATTACACATGGAAATGCACTCCGTCCTCCACAAACAGTAGCAGAGAAGGTCAAGGATGAGTTGCTTTTTCTCACGTGTGGCAACAGGGGAGTAGGAGATGAGATGAAAAAGTTAGGATACTTGTGAGATTTTCTTTTCCTTTTATACTGTAGGAAGGATAGAGTGAAAAGAATTGGTAGATAGGAATGCAGTAGTGATGTAGTGATGTTGATACAAGACCAGAGGGTCTTGCTTTGTTGTTTTGGAGTTTTTTCTATTAATAAAAGGCTGCTGATTCAACGGAAAAAAAAAAAAAAAAAATGAGTATCCAATTTGAATTACAATATTACATGTATTTGAAATACATTCATTTTAAATACATGTATATCAAACCCTATCCACCCTAAAGTAGCCATACTAGACAGACGGCAACATGAGAGTGGAAAACTGCTATACTGATGCTTAACAAAATTGATGGCGATTGGGGAGTGAAAGGCTTTTGGGAAAAAGCATGGAGACAAGTTTGGTACAAAGAGAATGGTTCATAAATTGTGCGTCGTGTCTTGCTCACAACACCAATCATCAGACAGCTAGAAGAAGCAAAGAAGTCGAGTAAGAACAGACAAGAAGAGTTTCTTCCCAAGATGTTCCCAGAAAGACAACAGTGTTCCTCTTCATTTACTTTACACAAACAGGCATTGCCAATTTACACAGGAGATGCATCGACCATTCAGAGAAAGGCTTAGGGTTCTGAATGCTCCTCACACTCCATTTTTCTCCTCCTCTAGCAAACGGTGGCCACCACAAAACTGCAATTATTTCAAACTAGCGGTAGATGGTGACAAATTTTTCAGCTTGTTTGTTACACTTTATCGTCATGGAACCACCACCTGGTCTCCTTTGGAGATCGGCCATTCCTACAGTTCTTTACATAGCGATCGTTGTCTTCAGGGCGTTGCTGCAGCCACCAGAGAAAGCAATGTCATATCAGCTCACAGTACCATAAACCACAGAAAGGAAGTAGAGATACTTGTGAGCTACAGATCAAACCTTAACAGTTGAGCTTGACAGCATTGAGAGGATACTGATACAAACAGAACTAACAGTCATGGCAGGTGACCAAGAATCATATAATATATCTGCAAATGAAAATAACTGATTGATGTGAGTCTCTACGTGACAAAACTACCCACTTCATTTGCATTAAAAGGGGAGGGAATAAAAGGAAGAACTTGATAAAACAGGCAAAGCAAGTGAATATATATGGTCAAGCCCTTTGGATATCTTTTCACAAAAATCCATGGATGCATATTGCATAAGTAGCAGCTGAACCAATCATCTTTAGTTTGATAAATGTAGACAAAAACGTGCATTAATCACATTAATTATCCACATGCAGAAGCACACCAAAATCACATTCTGAGGGAATCCATCCAGCTTATGCAGCCATTCAAAAGCAGGATGAGATAAATGAACCATTGAGACCCCAAAATATGAAGTGCCAGGTCCCTGACATCAGCACAAAGCTTCACTGAATCATTATCAAGATATTCATTTCATAAGATGCATCTCAAGACAGCGGTGAACTGCAAGACATTTCGCCTTGTATTGCATGCAAAGCCAAAGAGAAGGCAAACCAACTCTCCGCATATTAAAGTGATTAGCTAAGATCTACAAGCTAAGTTGAACTTGATTTTGATCTTGCAGGTCTCAGTAATTTAAGAGGATAATAGTCACAGTTACTCCAGAAAAAAAAAAATGTAGATAACTAAAATATCTACAAAGGGGAACAGAAACCGTGCACACCAAATCCAGTTGATACTCAAAGCAGAGATAGTATCAAAGCAATACCCAGGGGCAAACCTATCACTTTCGACATAATGGGAGGACAAATTTAACTTGGTCATTAAGGTAAAAATTTATTATTGATGTAAACCCAAGGCCAAGAAGGATAGAACATCTATTTTGAAGACATTGAAAGAGAAAGTGGTCCAGGAAACTGAAGTTGGAATCAAAGTGAAGAAAACATTTATAGATGCTTACTGGTACAACACAAACACATTCGATGATTATGATGAGCAAGTAGGAATCTTTTGGTCGTTGGTTTTACCTAAACAGATATGGCCGTTACTGTAAATGTGAGGGTGCAATGGAGCTGGATGGAGGAATATAACCTGCTCACAGTCCGTCCAAAAGTCCAAGCAAAACGAACATCACAAACACAGCATAAACAACAGCTACAGAGAAGAAAGAAATGATGATGCAGAATCAAACCTGGGGAGCTTCCATTGGGTAATGCTCTGGGAAATCAACTTGAAGTTGGTAGGTGTCATTAGCATAGAGGGTTCCAGGAGCTCCAATTACTTCAATCACCCACCTTCCATTTCCAAAACCACCAATAGACTTATAATAATCTAACGAAGGAGAGCAAATTACTAATACTCATTCAACGGAAAATAAAATTACTACTACCCACAACTAGAATTGTCGGAATTTGAAACAAACACAGAAACTTAAAGAAGCAGTCTTTCTTAAGCAAAACTATAAAAGCAGGCAACTTAGAGCTGAAATTTCAATGTTTTTCATCAAATGGAAGGATGGGGAAAAGAAAAAGACGAAACCTTTGGAGATTATCGGTGACTTTGTGTTTGAAGCCAGCGGGAGGATTGACCTGCCACTCCACCAACTCCTTCTGAAGCCGATTGCAGGCAATTTTACTCAGTGCCTGAAAGTAACCGTCCATTATCATCCAAGAGAGAAACCCGCAGACACCGAGATCAATTTCCGAAATGAAGAAGAAGAAGATTGACAATTCATCGAGTTAGGGGATGGAAACAGTAGGAGTTACAAGATAGGGAAAGACCTTGCGAGCGGTGGCGGAGGAGCTGGTCATGGCGGAGAGCGCTGCCGGGAGGAGAGAGAGAGAGAGAGAGAGAGAGGATTTCAATGCTGCAGAGTTTGGAAGGGGAAGAGACAAATAGAACTATAGAACCTAAGGTTTTGAGGGTACGATCCAGACCCACCTTTTTTTATGTTACTTTCGCCCGACCTCTCTGTTTTATTCTTCAGTTTTATTGTCCTTTTATCTCTGTTAATTAAAGGTTCATTGATGGAGGGTTATTATTTCCGGTATGTGTCTTTACTTAATAACTAGTCACGGGCCCGGCCAGTTGGCCGGTTTCATTTCGCAAATTTTCTAAACAATAGTATCAATTAGTATATATACATGTTTATATGATAATATAATAAAAATTCAAATTCAAATATTCAAATATTGAAACATTCAAACAGATCGGTAGTATAAGAGAATCTAAATTATTAAAATACTTGAAATGTTCAAAAGGATTAATATCATAATTTTTCCTGCCATTCTAATTGATGCATCAACTAAAGGACAAACTTCATGCAAGAGAAAAGAGTCCTAAGAATTTTTTTAAATTGCCCTTCTATTATCTTGTAATCGTCAGAGATTATTGCACGTTTTCTTTTGGACTTGTTTGTGTTCCCTCCGCTATGAGTGGCATCATCATCTCCCTTAATAATTACATCTTCGACTCCATTAGTGACAAATTTATTTTCATTCTAAATTGTCTTTTTCTATTGCATTTCAATAGTCTCTCCTTTTTTTCCCTACATTTCATTGACAACCAAAAATTAATGGTAAAATATTTACCAGTACAAATCATCTTTTTCATTTTGAGTAGAATTTACCTCGTCTAAAATATGAATAAGAGCCATGATTTGTGCCTTGCTCCCCATTATCGGTACTTTAATCTACCCCAAGACTCCTTCTATTATCACTCTAGCATTGGATCCATTACGTCCACTTTTAGCAATCTCGGTATCCTAGCATAAGTGATTAATAATTTAATATACATTGGAATTGTATCCTGATACAGTTGCATGCATGTTACCGGGAAATAAAGGAAAGTTCCATTAGAGTTTGAAGATATAAATAACATTTGTTTCTCTGGAAATTAGAGTACAACTAAGTATCATTTACGTACGGTATAAGAGATGATAGATTCAAAAATGCTAGACGTATACAGTTGATAGCCGGACAATTAGTAGGAAATTAAATGCATTACAAAATCAACATGTGATAAGTTGACATGGTAGGTAGGTTAATTATATAATAATCCGCGGGTGCACATATCAAATATGCTCCAAATCCAATAAAGAATATTGTAGCCTTCTAATTAATATGGATCCACAATTTCATGCAAGTAAAATTTACCTCTATCAAGTGCAAGAGATCGTTTGTGTTCTGTCTTCATTTACCTTCCCAATCATGTAAGTACTCAATTGTTGGGTTATAGATGTTGTAATTTGCGAGTTTGAAGTCAAACTTTGACACTATTCTCTCAATTTGTAGGAGATGGACACGTGTAATTTATCTTTATTTGGAAATAACCTTTCAGCCGGTATTTCAAAAATTTAAGCACTCACACAATCCATAACAACAAAGTCAACCTCGACTGTTTTTTTTTACAACCCAAAGGTAGATCTTGAATATGTATAATGATGCATACCGTTTATAAAATTATTTTATGAAATTTTTGCTTCAAGTTAAACTATGGAATATAAGTTACATGCACATATTTTTCCAAAAAATAATTTCCCAAAATCTCGTTCAGCAATTGATTTAGTTTCAGCTTAAAATCTATTGCGAAGACATCAACTCTATTAGGATCATTTCTAATATATAGTAGTTCTTATCAAATCAAACATGTATTGAACCTCATACCAATTAGGATTACATGTAAATGTAATGAAAAGATCTAGATATCCTTCCCATCTACAAATTGTCATAGCATTCTGCAAACTTTCACATTATATCAATGATTAGATGTATCTGAATCACCTTTCAATTCAAGAATGCAAACGAACTTGGTAGTAATGTTGTCAGAATTTTGTTTGGTTGTTTTAATCAAATTCAAAGCTTAACTTCTGCATATGCATTAAGAACATAAGGTTGGAACAACTTTCCACCCAATAGCAATAAGTTAGATTCTTCCAGTCTTATTTGGAGCCTATAACTATAAAAATCACATCATGCCACATTTTTCTCATTCATTCCATATGCATCCTCACTGGCATAAAATGGAATATTTGTGTGTCATCCATCTCAACATGTGAGAATAATATGAGATATTGCAAAGCTATTAAATTTGGATGATATATACTAATTTGTTCTAGTTGATGACTTTGATATTGGACAAAAATATCATGAGAAAATGTTTGACCTCAAAAATTAAAGGAATGATGTCATTTGTAGATGGTAAATCATATTCACTACAGTCCGCTTCTCTTTTAGCAAGCAACTTAATTTCAACTTGCTGAACTGTGGTGCCATTCAATATATCCCTCGCATATTGAGATTTCAATACTAAGATATTACTTCAATCTACCATCTTCTACAATTGTTGAATAATTGAATTGTGCAAAGGAATTGAAACTGGATCATGGAGAAAATATCTAACCATTTTTGGAGTTCATTGCCAGTGTCATATTTGTAGAGTTGAACAAATTCTGGTATGTTCCTTTCAGTTGGCATTAGGCTACGGATTTCATGATATATTTGACATCCAGTTGAATAAACATATACTTTGTATCCATCATATATAGATCAGTGCAGTTTACCTCTAATAGAAATCAATGTGAATACCCCATTATAACCTTAGATATGTTCCAAAAAGTGACGTCTAGTTGAAGTATTTGCATCCAATAGCATATTCAAAACCTCTGAAGACTGCTATCGAGGAGGGAAGTTCATTTTGCGTTATCTACAACACAATGAAAATTTTGGTTGATTGGAATTCCTTGTGGGTTTGGTACTTTCACCCTTCCACATCTTTGCTAATATCCACATTTATGCGATGAGTGTCCTATACCAACTCTTTAACAACTACAATATAATTAAAACTCCAATATAAGAAATACATTGATAAAAATTTAAAATTAAAATAAATGAGGAAAACTCAGATGCTATAAATATCAATAAACCTTAAATTTATTCATAACGCATCACTCGAAGACGATTATAACGATTTTTGGCAAGTTTGATGGAGCTTACAATCTATTTCTCTTGGTTTGTAAGTTATTCATCTCATTTTGAAATCTTGTATAGAAATCAGTAAAATAAGCAATCTTTTTTATGAAAAAGTAAAATAACCAATCTTAGCAGGCAATACAAAATTTGATAACATATAAATAAAAAATTAAACATGTATTCAATGGATTACCAGTGGATTACCAGTAGGAATGTTGACAATTTTTTCATATATACGCATTTTCCTTATATAAAGAGCATATATTCTTTTTGCTAATTTTGCCAATGGTTGACCAATTCTATTCAACTCTACATCAATTTATGAAAATGTAAAGTTGAGGGTAATAATTTTGTAAGTTCAAGCAGTGTCAAATAATTAGAGATTATAAATAATTGATATTTCATCAATGTTCATACTATTTTGTGTTTTCGATAACAAACATTAAATTGTAAGATGTACATAGTTATGCTAATAATATTATTTGTATTTATATTAACTTTTAATGATAGAATTGAAATCTTTTTTGGTTGTTTGGATAATTCTCATGCATAATATTTCTTTGATGCATGCAGAGAACTACTAATAAAATAAGCAAAATAGTTCTGCCATAGGACGGGTTCTAGCATGAACATGAAAACCTTAATAAATAACTTAAATATGGTTTATAGTTTCTAATATAAATACAATAGTAGTATAAATTGTCACTCTACTATTACATTTTCTCAAACCTGCCACAATACTATTTTTCACGTCAAATTTATCCTTCTATTATGAATTTTTTTTTCAAACATGCCCTTCCGTTAGATTTTCCATCCAAAAAATCGTTAAATCTGGTCAAACATGATTTGACTGAAAATTACTAATGACCCTAACTAATTAAAAAATAAGAACAAAACGAACTTAAAACACACCACCACCAACCCAAATCCTTGCAAAGAAATCCTAATCCCTAAAATTTCTAATCACTTGTCTACTTTTTCCTGGGAACCTTGAATAGTTAACACAGAGAGGGAATTGGGAATTACTTGTGCTTATCATAAGTATAATAATAATAATAATCAATAAGCCACAAATGATGGGTTGTAAATATAAGCGAGTATAATTAAGGGATGTTTCTGGTAGAGGCCTCAAACGATCCTCTCGTACTCTAGCCCATATTAAATAAAAATAAAATTGACCAAAGGACCCTCCCGTGCACTGCGCTGGAGCCAGGAATAGTGAAAGTAAGGGGGTTCTAGTGTGGAACCTCTATATTGTTATTGGTTGATTAATGAGTAGAGCTATTCGTGAGCTGCTCGGTTTCGAATTCGATAAAAGCTGGTTTGATTAAAATAAAGCTCGACTCGTTAATAAACGAGCCAAGCTTGAGCTCTACCTTGTTCGGCTCGTGAAGCTCGTGAACTAGCTCGATTAGGTGGCTCGTTTAATACACCTCATGAACTGTCTCGTTTTGAGCTTATTAGATGTCCCAACATTGTGACTAGAGAGCTAACTCGACTACAGTTTATGAGAAAATCAATCTATATTTTATGAGTTGGTTTGTTAATGATGCATATAATTATTAAATTGTATATGTAACCTCATATGGTGTTTAATACATTGAGTATATGTAAGCAAATACGTCTCATATATATGCATAACATTAGGTAATAACTTGTATCCAGGGGCGGAGCTACAGCAGGGCTCGGGGGGCCTCGGCCCCCACGAGAATCTTGAAAGTTACGTATAAAATACTCAGGCAATTTACATATAAATAAAACGAAATGGTTAAAAGGGTACAAAACAGACTCCTAGCGTAGAGGAAGGTTTGCTATTTTGCTCTCACTAGGTCCTTGGTTCGATTCTCATGCAAAGCAAGTATTTTTTGCCAGCTATTCCTTATCGATTTCTTTTAACTACTCCAGGGATGCAATACTTTTAGCAGCTTTAAGCATATGTATATACAACAACAATTTCTTTTA